TGAATTGTTTCTCACTGTCCCTGGCAAGCAACAGCTCGGTGAATACTCTAAACATGGTGAGTTTGGCCTGGAGGTGGGGGGTTGGGCATTCAAGATGGGGCAAAGGATCTAAGGTTTTTTTTAAGGGGATCACTGGAGGCGAGTAGGGACAATATTGTAAATTCTGCCACCGTTTTCCACAGGTGGGGATCACTGAAGCAGATATCTCACTCCTGATGGTAAACAAGGATGCAAGGGTGCATCTACTTCATGCATGCAGCTTCAGACCTGGCTCCTATGCTGTTTGCCTGTGTGCCGCTTTGGTCCCTGCACCAGTGATTGTCGATTGGCCCGGGAAAGTTTCCTACAACAGGGAAAGGAACAAAGCAGCTCTGCCAAAGAACCTTCGACAGAGATTTGGCAAATATCTCCAGGAAAGTTTCCTAGCGATCTCTCTGGAGGATTCCTATGAAATCTCAGTGTGCATCAACACACTGTTCCATCACACTGCTTAGCTGCACAGGGAATGTGAAGCACACTCAAACACACTTGTCTTCCACATTTCTATCCCTTCACCCACTTCTACAGGATACAAGGACACCTATATGTCAAATAGGGGGGAGGGATAGCTCAGTGGTTTGAGCATTGGCCTGCTAAACCCAGGGTTGTGAGTTCAATCCTTGAGGGGGCCACTTAGGGGTCTGGGGCAAAATCAGTACTTGGTCCTGCTAGTGAAAGCAGGGGGCTGGACTTGATGACCTTTCAAGGTCCCTTCCAGTTCTAGGAGATAGAATATCTCCATTAATTTATTTATTTATAAGCGAGCGGCATCAGCTCAAAAAGATCACTTACCAGGAGTCTGCTCTCCAGCATCTTGCTCGCCGGAGACGGAGTGCTGGGACTAGCTAGACACCTCCTGCATGGAGAAGAGTTCCAGATTTGCAACACCACCAGACAACCCTGCCGTGGGCTCCACATCATCCTCCAACTCCACCTCTATGCCATGACTTCGTCCTCAGGGTTAGGTCCACTGTTCACCACCTCCAGCCCCGTCAAAGGATCCACAAGGCTGTTGGCAGTGGAGATGGGGTCCCCGCGGGGATGGCGTCCAGCTCCTTATAGAAGCAGCAGGTCTTCAGCGCAACACTTGAGCAACTGTTTGCCTCCTTCGCCTTATGGTAGACCTGCCTCAGCTCCTTTATCTTCACTCGGAACTGCGCAGTGTCCCGATCGTAGCCCTTATTGCACAAGGCATAAGAAATCTGCCCATAGGTGTTGAAATTCCTTCAGCTGGAGCGGAGCTGGGACTGGACAGCCTCCTCTCCCCATATACTCAGCAGATCCAACTGCTCCAACTGTGGTCCAAGCGGGAGACCATTTGCCCCATGGAGCCACCATGGTCAGCTGGGAGACTGTGATGTGAGCTCTCCACGCTGAGCAAACAGGAAGTGGAATTTCAAAAATGGCCTTTAAAGATGGAGGGATGGATGCTTGTTTACCTAGCTGCAGGGCAGCGGAGTTCGAACTGCTGACCTGAGCGGTCAGGATGGGCATTGTGGGACCTCCTGGAGGCCAATTACAGTGACAAAATCAAGCATGGTGTCCACACTGACATTTTGTTGACAAAAACTTTGCCGCAAAAAGCTCCATGCCTCTCATGGAGGTGGTTTTATTTTGTTGCCAAACAGGAGAATTTTGTCAGTAAAAGTGGCATTGTAGTGTGCACACCTCCCCTATTTTGTCGACAAAAGCTGCCTTACTTTCATATCCAACACTAGTATTTTTCTGAATGTTTTTTCACAATATCCAGTATTTAAAGACAATACAACATTGTGCTCATACAGCTTTGCTGTCCAGTGACTGTCATGCTGTTCCTTTCGATTCTTGGCACTGCACAGCTGTATTTGCATACTTTAATTGTTAAATTGTTAAATGCAAGCCTGCAAACTGAACAGTCACCTAACCCCTGTCTCTATTATCCCCATTTATAAAAGGCTATAATTCCCTGTCTCACAAAGGCGTTCTGAGGATTAGTTAATGTTTGTAAGACACTTTAAGAATAAAGTTGAGTCAGTCGAATATGGGTGGATCAACTCAGATATTTGATCATGATATCTTGAGATATATAAAAGTATCTTATCATTCTTCAAATAAAATTTTAAAAAAAGAATAAATAGAGCCCTGTCTGCATTCCCAGTTAATATGCAACCAGATAGGGTTTATACAAGCAATCATTACAGTGACAATAAAATCCATCAGTAATAAATTACAAACTTCTCTTGAAGGTATTAGGTGAAAACCGATTCACAGTCAATAACTTTTTGCAGTTGTTTGTTTATATGGTGATATGCATTCATCTATCTACAATGGCCACCAGATACAATCTGATGGCATGAGGGGTAAAATGCTCCACATGTTTTTGAATATTTAATTGCAATGCCCACTGCCAACTAGATATATACTCTTGAATATCAGCAATTATTATTGACAAGAATTACTTACCTTTGGAAAGCTATCAGACTGTTATAACTCAATGCAATAAGATCATACAGCTGGTAGATAATTCTGAATTTAACTAATATAAATCATAAAACAATATGTAGGAAGAATCCAGTATTTTGGGAATATGTAAACAAACTTACCACTTTGCATTCTAGACTATACAGAGGATTAATACAGTTGCTCCCCCTTAATACATTCTCTGGTATAAAACTGCCAGCCTCAATTTGTGTTAAATTTGCAATTTGAATTTACAGTTGTAGGGGGAGAAGGTGGGAAATCTCATTTGCTTCCTTTAAATTCAAGGCCCTACAGTGAAAAAGACTGTCAGAAATAAAAACTGTCTCAGCTCTGATCATTCATGGGCCTCTGACACTTCTTTTCATTATTACTTGTGGCACCTTAGAGACTAACAAATTTATTAGAGCATAAGCTTTCGTGGGCTACAACCCACTTCCTCGGATGCATATAGAGTGAAACATATATAGAGGAGATATATATACACACATACAGAGAGCATGAATAGGTGGGAGTTGTCTTACCAACTCTAAGAGGCCAATTAAGTAAGAGAAAAAAAGCTTTTGAAGTGATAATCAAGATAGCCAAGTACAGACAGTTTGTTCTCACACTTGCTTCTTATCAAACTGTCTGTACTTGGCTATCTTGATTATCACTTCAAAAGCTTTTTTTCTCTTACTTAATTGGCCTCTTAGAGTTGGTAAGACAACTCCCACCTATTCATGCTCTCTGTATGTGTGTATATATATCTCCTCTATATATGTTTCACTCTATATGCATCCGAGGAAGTGGGTTGTAGCCCACGAAAGCTTATGCTCTAATAAATTTGTTAGTCTCTAAGGTGCCACAAGTACTCCTGTTCTTTTTGCAGATACAGACTAACACGGCTGCTACTCTGAAACTTTTCATTATTGTTTCCCACATACTACAGTTAATATATATCCTGCTCAAAAACAAACTAGAACTACTCTTAATGTGGGTGGACCCTACATCCATTGCCCTAATTAAGTAGCAGAAATTCCTTGGGTATCGGATACAAATGTGGAGAGGATTTAAAGTGGCAAAAAGTATTCCACATGCTACAGCTACTCAGTTTAAATATTATGGGTTTGATTCTAATTGACACTAATCCATCTTTGAGTGAGTGCAAGTCACACTTACAGTCACTTTAAGACCCCTTTAACAGCGCCAGAGTGATGTCAAGGGGCTTAGTGTAAATAAGAATCCAAGCCTGTATCTTTGCACAACTGATATTTGATAAACCCCTTATATTTTGACAATTTTGAACAAAATTGAAAGTAGGGAAAACATTTGTCTCTTGCTGAATCAGGCTACAGTTACATTAGTTTAGAGATACTATTAAGTAGTTGGGTTTTGAGGTGATCCTAGTGCAGCATCACAATTCAAGCACTGTTCTGCTAATTTCTTGTTTCGGTTTGGTTTATTAAAGTGTTCATGTGGTCAAACAGTAAAAGATTCCCAGCTTTCCTTTTTAATCCTGGCTTAAGACAGGATAAACATATTTATGGCACTAAAAATCTGGCACCAAGTACTTTTTTAAAGGTGTTTAGGTGCCTAAATAAGTGTAAAAATCTGGCCCTTACAGCTTGGTCTTGCACCCCTAAACTCACAAAGTTTTGCCACTGCTTCTGTAGGAACAGAACTGGACCCTTTGTCTCTTTTTCACCACACTGCTCTCATACCATTTTCTTTCCAGAAGAACCTTGATTTCCTTCTTTTGTATTTTTCCCCATCAGTATTGGTCTATCTCCTCTGTGTAATATAGTTAACAACTTACACTTCACTTTTTTTTTTTCTTCAAAAAGTCATAGGAAGGTCAGTTCAAATACACATTTTTAAGGCCCCAATCTTGCAAAAACTTAAGCACGTGCATAACTTTACACACAAGAAGAACAGGAGTACTTGTGGCACCTTAGAGACTAACAAATTTTAGTAAGGTGCCACAAGTACTCCTGTTCTTTTTGCGGATACAGACTAACACGGCTGCTACTCTGAAACCTTTACACACAAGTAGTCCCACTGAAACCAATGGGGACCATTCATACATTTAAGACTTTGCAGGATCAAACCCTAAGATGCTAAACTCTTTGAGACAAGGACCTTTTCTTTGCATGCACTAGTATGGTGCCTAACACAATGGGGTCCTGATTTTGATTTGGGCCTCTGTTACAAATATTAAATAATAAAATCTTGAAAGTACCTCAGCTGCCCATCACCTAGAGCCTATGTGCTGCAAAGCTGTTCTAACCCTTTTATCTCCAGGCACAATTTTGCTGCCCACAACTTCAGAGCTCACCCATACTTCAGTTTTGAGCATGGTATAACTTTTATGTGAAATGTCAATTTTCTTTTCTTAAATTTGCAAAGATGTTGAAATTCCCATCAATATTAATCTCAGTTTCTGTGGAAGGGATGAAACAAACACATTCTGATTGTTACCAATTGCATGCTGGTAAATGCCAGCCTACACGCAATGCACTTACTTTTTTTGTTCTTTCCAGTTTATTTGCTCCTTGTTCAGAAAATGAGCCTTCATCCGGTGGCACTGTTAGGCGTAATCTACAGACATTCATCTAGAAAGGAAACAAAGGTTTTCTTTCAGTTTTAAGAATGCTAAGAAAAATCATTTTAATAGACTCCTCTGTAAAATAAGATGTGCTAGCTTTCAAGTTTTCATCCATGCCACAAACAATGAAAAAAGTTACTTTTTAATGGCTGGGTTTTTTAGCTGGCAAGAACTAATTCAAGGAGAACATTACATACCTGAAATAATAACATGCTGTTGACTGAAATGGGCTTTTGCTATGTTCACCCAAATGACATTGAGAACTGAAATACACTAACACTGAAAATAGTTTTCTTCAGTTTCTCTGCTTTGATTGCAATTTGGCACATCTTTGATCTTTAAAATGGGAGATTCAGTATCTAAGAACACAAAATGCTTTCTAGAACAGACCCTGTTTTTATGTTGAGGACATACCAATAGCTTGATCCTGGAAACGCTCATGAGTTTAGTTCCACTGAATTCAATGAGATTAATCACATCAGTAAATTATAAACATGGCTAAAAGTTCATAAACTCTTTCATAAAAAAGTGTAATCAAGGTCCCTCTTCCTACCTGACCTTGGAAAAGTCACTTCCTCTTTGGTGAAACGGGGTTAATAATACTGTTTTCCCCTCACATTGTTTCCCTTTGTTGTCTGTTTAGATTGTAAGCTCTTTGAGGCAGGGGCTGTCTTTTACTACAAGTTTGTTCAGTGCCTAGCATGACAGGGCCCCAGTCTTGGCTGGAGCCTTTAGGTGCTACAATAAAAAGCAAGAATGATTCCTAAGCAATAGATACCAACTGTTGAAATGCAAAACACACTCTGTCCAAACTAAAATCCCATACACTCTCTCTGACATCTCCTTGTGGATGTCTAGCTGTCAGCTCAAGCTCAACATGGCTAAAAGAGAGCTCTTAAATTCCCCCCCCCCCCAAAATCCTCCCCCTCTCTCTCAGCCACTATGGACACCACTACAGTCCTACCTGTCACTCAGGCCCATAATGTGGGTATCATCTTGGACTCTGACCTCTGTGTCTAATTCTTCACAATTCTTTGTGCATAACATGTCTAAGATACGGCCTTTCCTATCCATCCACACAGCTAAAATGTTCCTCCAGGCCCTCATGCCTCAATTACTGCAACATCCTTTTCTCTAGCGTTGACAAATGCAATCCTGTTTCACTCCTATCCACTGAAATTGCTGCTGCATAGATCATTTTCCCAGACTGTTGCTTTGACCATTTCATCCCTCTTTGCATCCCTCCATTAACTCCCCCTGCTCGGTCACTATGAACATAAGCTACTTGTCTTCACTTTCAAGGCCCCTTAGATCCCTTTAGATCAGTGATACTCAGACCTCAGTGGTTCAGGAGCCAAATTAGCGATCAACATTACCCAGAAGAGACACCGTAGCATGAATTCATTGTTTCATTTACTATAGTGCTATATATTCATATTTCAACAGTATGACAGGAAATGTTTAGTTTTTACTCTCAGCAAAATGACTGACCATGTATTATTTTATCAACTACAGTTGATTAATAACATTGTAAAAACATCCTGATTGGTTAAGAATTAAATCACAGTGTTTTAATATCATGTGCTGCAAAGAGCTGCAGGAGACACATTAAAGAGCCACTTGTGGCTCGCAAGCGAGCCTCAGTCTGAGTATCACTTATTTAGATCTTTAGATCCATTTGCAAAATTTATATATTTTTTTTAAATACAAAAAGAGCTCAATGCCGTTAATCAGCATTCAATATCAAACCTACAACAAGAAGCCAAAGTGCATGTGATGAAGGAAGTTAAATTTGGTAAGGAAACATTTTAATTTCCAGTTTCCAAAGGAATTATAATAAACAATGTGATTTATTTTTAATGATGAATACAACCTTGACTGTGTCCACATATACTGGCTTTTGACATTGATTAGGTGGTATCTGAAACTGTCATTAGAAGAGAATTCCAGATTCTTCCTTTCAGCCATTATAACAGAATTTTAAGGCACTTCCTGTTTTTAAGTTAATAACCATACCCTACGCTACTAAACTCCTTGACTTTGGAGTTTATTGGCACAAAATATGATTATCAGGAAGCCCATTATACACTTCTTCTCACCCTTTTTTCCCCATCCCTTTAATTTTCACTTTCCACTGTTCTTTCCTCCCATCAACTTAGCAAGGCTCTTCTCCCTAATACATATTTGTTTACAAGCATGAACCAGAAGGGAGAGGCTGGCAGTCTTCCAATATAAGCAAACAAAGACAAACATTTATGATTGTTCTTGTGGAGACAAGCACCTTCCTGACCTGTAGGACAGCAAGGGAAGACAAGGGAATTTAGGGGGTTGCAAGGGAAGGTGATGAAAGAAAGGAGGCCAAATCTTGCTCCCACTGATTTCAGTGGGAGCAGAACTGGACCAGACAGCATTGAATGCAATCTCCCTTTCAGTGATTTGACAACCTGTATTTCTTTGATTTTAGGTATTTTTCTAGTTCACTGACAAGAGAACGAGAAACAGAAGCATACACCATCTTTGAAGCAGGCAAAGAGCTTGGCATTCAACACAGGAGCCAGTGAGCATAGAGAGATTATAGCAGTTGATTTAAATATTCACAGTACAGTTATTTGTCAGTAATCATACTGAAATTGTACAAGTCCCCGTACACTGATTAGTGAACAGTGACTGTCTGCCAGAGTACAGGTAATGGGATTCACATGCTATTTGGTTACTGCACCCAAACAATAATTATGCAGACCCACAATCAGAGTGCAGGAAACTGAATAACTGGGAAGAGTAATAAATTAGGGTTAGCAAAAGTACAGCATCCCCAGCTCTTTGACTGGTTCTTTCATTGGCTCTTTGGTTGGGTGAGACCATTCCGCTTTGGTATTTATATTTTTCTTTCTCCTCTTTTCTTTTTCTTTAAGTTTAAAAAAAATTCAGGGTAGCACCCTTTTCATACTTCATTCTCTATTATCCCCCCAAAACATTACTGTATTTATATTACCATAACACCTAGGAGCCCTTCTTTTCGCTGCCCTTCACTTCCCTATCCCCTCAGCCTCATAGCAGTATGCATATGCACACACTCCAGGAGATCATATTTTCATCAGTATTTCTGCCATGAGTACTGCAAGCAGCAAAGTGAAAGAAACTTTACTGTTTCGCATTTCAGCTTGTAATGCTCACAGAATACTAAAGGCCAGACTGTTGTAGAGTTTGTCAGTTGACAAGACTGGGATCCTCCATCAAATTCTACAGACCCTTTAGGAGACATAGATGAAGAAACTGCACGTCATCACCCTGCAGAAATGGAATTTTACCAAACAGGACTGTACTTAGACTTTCACAATCACCATACATCCCCAATTAAATCAGAACCATGCACCAATCCCAACATCTCTGCAAATGCCACAGAAAACAAGCACACATTTTCAAACAGAACCAGTCACTAGCCTTTTGGAGGAACACCAGCCTGAGGGTTTGTCTCAAGGGACACACGAAAGAAGTAGCTGCATGGCGCCATAAAACAGATTGGGCATATACTCACAAAATTTCACTTGGGATCCCAGAATCTCTGATGCCACAAAGCATTGAACCAACTCTCCATTCAATTTTAATAGAAAGTGTAATTGAAAGATTTTTCACACAGCTACATACACATCCCCAGATCCTCAGCTGATGTTGCCTCTTAGGGAGGTAGTGCTTTGCATCATTTGTTCGCAAATTTATTGGCCAAAAGAAGGAACAACTGTGATGGGCTCCAGAGGGAATCAACCCCAGCACCCTTCAGCTGTGGGGATGGTTGCAGAAATGCCTCAGAAAAGGACGGGGTACCTCAGATAAAGACTAGGGAGAGACTGACCTAAGTGCTGAGTGAAGGGGGGAGAAATATGACTGAGTGAAGAAGAAACGGACAGAAACACTGGGGTTATGTGGAAAGACTCTTTCAGTTGTTATAACAAGTACGGTGTTGCTGTAGAGCTTGTAGCATAGACATACTCTGAGTAGGCAGCCAAGTTAGGGACTGGAAGCACTGGCCCATCTACCTCCATGTCATCAACAACAGGTTAGAATGAAATTGATCGTATCATGCTATTACTGAACTCCTGGTAGATGTAGGGGTGTAACTTTGGTTTTATAAAGAATCAGAAACAATCTAAAAAAATCCATAACTTGTAAACTTTATAATTAGCAGTAACCACAGTTTTAAGAAACTACTCAATGATTAAAGTAACCCCAATTTGACCAATACTATGTGCCCACTGTTTACTCTGTGATAACCACCAACCCATGAGCAATATTCCCAGAGCTACTCTGGATGTCATCTGTGAGACTGATGCACACACAGGGAAGCAAAGACTGGTTCACTCCAGCTCTTAACATTAGTTTGCCAAATGGAATGGAAGTTAACAATTAGAGACAAGCTTATCAGCTTCTAAGAAGCTAGTAGGTTATCACCAATGATAGTTTGTTGCAATATAGAATTTAAAAAGAAAACACTGAAGGTTAGTTTAAAATTTTAGAGTATATTAAAAAAATATAGGGCCCCACTTCCACAATCCTTATTCACATTGAGCAGCATACTCCTTGAATAAGCAGGGGTCTGCTTTACACAAGTAAGAGTAACTGATGCAAACCCTGAACGATTATTTTGACAAATGTTCTGCAGACTTTTTTTTTAAAAAAGCAAAATACTAGTGAAATATGTGGAGCCAGAATGCCAGCAATAGGGTTAGAATGACCAAAATGATATTTTTTTTTAGCAAAATAATTAATATTTGTCTATTGATAATCTGTCCTATCCTAAAATCTCCATACTGCTCCCACTGGAGAAAGATGCTCAATATTGACCCAACTACTGAAAATGGCAAAATTCCCACTGACTTTAGAGGGTGTGGGATCAAAAAGCTGGAGAGGTTTTCGATTATGCCAGCAAAGATACAATTGCTTCTGGCACTCAAGTGGTTTGGGGACTGGAATTTTGTCGAGTAATTGCCTGCTGCTTGCCTCCATAGCCTATTTTTTTTGTTAATCTTTACTTAATGGTTGAAGCTTAAGAACCACTCACTCTGCATAGGGTCGGAAGTTATTCTAAACTTCTGAAGACAAGACAAGAAACAAGTCTCTCATTTCAGTCAGTGCAAAAAGATTAATCTGGTGATAAGGGACTATTGACAGACAATCCGTGGAAAAAAATGTAATTATAGCCATCTTAGATTCATCTCTAAAATAATATGATTAATGGACACTTTTCCTGTGATAGCTGGGACTATGACATCTTGTCTTGGGTGTAATTTTACTTAATTTGTTATTCTAAGTGTTTTCATTCCCTTGTTTCAATAACCATGTTTGGGAGCTAACATTTCACTACAAAAGAGAAAGGTACTACTCTAAAGAGTTTTACTTGCAAATTAATTCTGTTGTTCCCACTAGAAAAAGGTACTGTATTCTTACAAACTACCAAAACTACGTATGTTTACTTTGTCCTGGAATATGTGCTAGAGTAGATTAAGTTAAAAAAACAAACAAAATTTGTATTCTAAAATATATTCTCAATATTAACCTGTTTAGAAGAAAGATATCAAACATGAAACTTATTATGAATAGTGAGGATGGGAATCACTTTATTCTAAAGAATTAGGAAATAAGGCCACATTACACTATGTAACTCTCCATTAAAATATCTAATTTCCTTATTATTACTATAATAATAATTGCAGTTTTCAAAGCTTTCTAATTTTCAGTTTTAACAACTTTGCTTCTCACCCACCATGAGTCTAAGTTTGTGTACTCCTTATATTTGTGATGAAGAGTGAATTCAGAGAGTTAACTTGCTCCTAGCATACAAAGGCAGATGACTTTGTTACAGCAACTTCACCAGTCTCACTGGTTACTGTATGCAACAGGTGTCATGATAACATTCCTCACTGGTTTTGTTTTCTCTGATGAACAGGTGGGTGTTGCTGTTAGATGAACAGAGAACTATTATGTATTCCAAAAACAGTACAGACTTGAAGAAGAGCTCTGTGTAAGCTCAAAAGCTTGTCTCTCTCATCAACAGAAGTTGGTCCATTAAAAGATACCGGCTTTGCCTACACTAGCACTTTGTCAGCAAAACCTTTATTGACCACAGGTGTGAAAAAACACCCCCCCGACCAACATAAGTTTCACTGTCAAAAGCACTGGTGAGGACAGCCCTATGTCACTGGGAGAGCATTTACCACCGATATAGCTACTGCCACTCGTTGAGGGTGGTTTAATTATGCCAGCAGGAGAGGTCTCTCCCATCGGCATAGAACGGCTACACAGGAGACCTTACAGCAGTACAGCTGTGCCGCTGTAAGGTCTGTAGTGTAGACATACCCATTACCTCACCCACCTTGTCTCTCTAAAAACATTACAGTCACACAACACTGGTTTGTAATGACAAGCTCATCACCTGATCCTTGTTGTTTTTATTGCCACTACAGCAGGTAAAGAATGTGTGTCCTCTCATGATAACAGCATATGTTGTTATACTACTGAAAAAGCTATTTAAAGTAGGGTGGGCGTGGGAACATTCTTGTCACTATATCTGCCAGAATTTTAACAACATTTAGAAGAGTTGCCAAGCAGATTCATAAATCATCATTACTGATCTTATCTTGATTGTGAAAGATTCCAACATATTTAAATATTGTTCTATTTAAAAGGCTCATGGGTTTAAATGAGCCTTTTAAATAGCTAGCTACATCATCTAAGGTATTCATTTAAGCATCCTTAATCTGTAGTCATCTGAATGTGAAAGTCCTTGATTCTTTAAATCCAGCTGGATGTTTACAAACAACCACACACAGAATGGCACACCTCCCCTCCTGGAAAAACTAGAGCCACAATATTATGACTAGTAAAAGAAAACCTCATTGTAGAGCCCACAAAATTTGACCCTGTTTTCAGTAGATAATTAGATTGGAACAGAAACAAAGATGAAGCACAGATGGGGGGGGGAGAGGAGGGGAGAAGTCTGCCAAAATACATAGAGGGAAAGTTTGTGCTCTAAACTAATTAGTGAAGATTAAAACAAAAACAAAACACACACACACACACACATTATTTTGCAGTATCCTGCAATATTTTCTTTGAACTGTTCTTGGAAATTGTGCATTGTCAACCTTGATTTTGCTGTCAAGTATGTTCTCTATCTAAAGTAGAAACATTAATTTTGAAAAAACGTAACATGAAAAAGAAAAGCACAGGTCCAGATCCTCAAAGGGAGTTATACTCCTAAATACCTTTGAGGATCTGGGGCACAGTGGGTGTTTCTCTTGAGACCAATACGCTTTCTTTTACAGCTCTAGTCTTTGCCATGCAATAAAACATATTTTCGCACATTTTTCCTCTAGTCAAAAGGGAAATCATTAGTAAACTACATCTTCCTTTAAGCATGTATAGCTAGAGGCCAAACACTGCTGGGCAAATATATGTTCTGCCCTTTAAAAACAACCCTTATTAAATTATGTCCATTAAACCAAATCACACTTCTTTCTGTCATTTGCTCTCTTCTGTAGTCTTTGTCTAAGCCTGCTGGCTACACGGAATAGAAATGGGGAACTAGACTTTTGCCCTACATTGTAAAAACTCCTTTAGCGAATGGGGAAGAAGAAGAGAGTCGTGGACTTCTGTTGCGCTCTCCAGAGAGCAGAATGCCTGTAGTCTCTCCATTCCTCAGCGCCAGCACTGGCCGAGCCTGCTGTTGCTAACCGGACCCCACACTCTAGGGCTCATTGGAGAGTCAGGATTTGGGCAGCCGATTGAGGCGGGATGAGGGTGAAACAGCAGCAAGTTCCCTAAGCAAAGGCGAGTTTAAGGCCATGCACCCACCTCTACCCGAAATCCCAGCTAAGCCAAGCGGGAGGCAGCCCCCGCACCATGCCACAGACGGAGCCTGACCCACCCGGTGCCTGGTCAGTGCCAGTGGCACAGTTATCCCGAGGAGCGGCCCCAGGCCCGGCTTCTCCCGCAGCTGGGGGTCAGCAGCACCGCGCGGGAAGCAGCCCGGGGTGGGGGCGGACCCCCAGGCCGAGCTGGGCAGGCTGAGGGGCCGCAGCGGGGAGAGGGCTCCCGGGTGACTCACCCGCTTCTTGCCGGGGCCGCTCTCGCCGGCGGGCGGCCTGGGGACGGTGGCGGTGACGGTGAGCGCGGAGCTGTAGCGCAGCATCTTCCTTGGCCGCCTTCCGCGCTCACTGACTCGCGGCCGAGCTCCGGCCAGGGGTGGCAGGTGCGGCTCCAGCCAACGCCCCGGGGAGGGGCCGCCGCGCCGGCCTGACGAGCGCGGTGCTCCCCGGACTCGTCAGGCAACCAGCGTTTTATCGCTCGGCCGGTGTCTAGCCAGCAATGCCGCGGGGCGGCCGGCGTGTTAGCGTAGGGGTGTGTGTGTGTGCACGGGGCATCGGTGTGTAGTGCAGCTGTGTGCACAGGTGCCACGGGGCATGAGTGGGTGTGTGCGCACGGGGTAGTTGTGGGTGTATGTACAGCTCTACCGTGTGTGCAGTAGGCATTTATGGGTGTGTGCGCACACAGCAGGTGTGTGCACAGGGCATTTGTGGATGTGTGCATGCACAGCAGGTGTGGACACTGGGTACTGTGGGTGTGTGCATACACGGCAGGCTTGCACACTGGGTATTTCTTGGTGTTTGCACAGCAGGTGTGTGCACTGGGTATTTGTGGGTGTGCATGGGTCAGTAGGTGTGTGCACTGGATATTTGTGGCTGGGTGTGCACAGGTATGTGCATAGCATCTGTGCACTGCAAGGGTATTAGTGTGTGCACAGCCCATGTACACACGTTATTCCTGTGTGTGCACAAGTTATTTGTGTGTGCACCGCATTTGTGCACAGGGTATTTGTGTGTGCACATGTGTGCCTAGCAGTGTGTGTCACATGTATTGTGTCAGGGTGATGAGTATGTCCATCTCTGCATGCATATGTCTGGCGTGTAATGCAATTATGGGTGTGTTCCAGTATGCAACAGTTGTATAGTGTGTATGCTGCATGTATGGCAGGCTTGTGTGACTACATTGTCAGTGTGTGCTTAATAACTGATTAGTGCATTATTGTGCACATTGCATGTGTATATTTAAAGTGTTAGTATGTGCATAAATATTGCATCTACTTACTGTGCTGCATGCACATGTGTTTTGTTTGTTAATTATTACTTGTATTGCAGTAGCATCTAGAAGCCCCACTCATGGACCTACTATAGATTTATATCATATTTGCGTACAGTGATTGTTCATAGTGCATAAGTATTTGTATGCATATAGTGTGGCAGCATAGTGCATGTATGCAGAGTGAGTGCTTGTGTGTATGGATGTGGATATTGTGAATGCACAGTATATAAATATATATGCATTGTGTGGCTGTTTGAATATATACAGTGTGCATATACTTGCATGTATTATATTTATTTGTGACAGATAGCCAAGCATTCCATCTTTTACACTTAGGCCTGGTCTACACTAACCCCCCAAGTCGAAGTAAGGTACGCAACTTCAGCTACGTGAATAACATAGCTGAAGTCGACATACCTTACTTCGAACTTACCGCGGTCCACACGCGGCAGGCAGGCTCCCCGTCGACTCCGCGGTACTCCTCTCGCCGAGCTGGAGTACCGCAGTCGACGGCGAGCACTTCCTGGTTCAACTTATCACGTCCAGACCAGACGCGATAAGTCGAACCCAGAACTTCGATCCCCAGCCGCCGAACTAGCGGCTGGGTGTAGACCAGCCCTTAGTAAACGGTATAAAGGACATAAGTTATTTACTTACAGTGTTGTAGGTGTGTTGGTCCCAGGATCTGGGGGCGGGGGGAAGGTGGGTGAGGTATTTTTTTTTTTTATTGAACCATTATCTCTTGGTGAAAGAGATGCTTTGGAGTTTAACAGAGCTCTTCTCTTGTTTCTTTCACCAATAGAAGTTGACCCAATGAAAGATATTACCTCATCCGGTTTTTGTGTCTCATGAATTATTTATGTAGTCCCATAAAATGATATAGCATTTTACTGACAAATAAGATATGGCCCATTCCCCAAAGAGTTTAGATTCTAACAAAGGAGGAGAGGAAAGAGACAATAATAAGGTTTATATACATAGAGTGGGTTGTTGTAATCCCAGGTTATGGGTTAGTTTGGTTTTTTAAGCTTATTTAGCTTAAAGTCTTTGATTCTTGTTTTTCCTGTTTCCTCTTTCTTACTTCTTTCTTATTCTCCCTCTCTGTGCTTGTGAGAATAGAATTGAAGCAATTATATAGCCTGGACAAACACCGACATATTAACTGTCAATAGTATGGTGCACAGCAAATGAGACAAGGGAACTGCAAAACCCCTGTCTCATTCACCATGTAACTTTGTGTATGTATACACACAGTTACTTTCTTAGGCTCTGTGTGTCTGCCATATGCAGTGTAATCATGATAATAGGATGTTACACCTGAGGGGCAAAAGTTGCAGAAAAATATACTGTATTTGAGATGTATGTAATAATATATTTAAGGATATCATTAGCTTTGGTGTTTTCTGATTTCAAGAATGCTAAAGAAGTGGAACTAATCTGAAATGGAAAAAGGAAAACTTTGCAGTGAACTATCAAGGTTTCACCCCTTCTGCCTCGAGTGTCCCCCTGCCCACCATCACCCTTCCCTAGCCCGATATGGAGAGCCGTCTGCAGAGCTGGGAACTACGTGGATGGAGAGGAGTTGCACAGGCTTTTGATAAGGAGTAGTGAAGGTCTCAGGTTGGTAGAAGTGGGCTAGGGAGGAGCCATTCCATCCTCACACATATTCCCTGAAAAAGATAATATAACTTCTTCAGAGTCCCTCCAGAATGGGAAACTCTCTTCAAGGTGATCAGAGGAGCTGTGCTGTGAGGGAGGGGACCTACAAGGCCTCCATACAAATGGCCTTGGGTTCCTGTGAATAAGCAGGTTTGAAGGCCAGACCAATGGCTCTTCCCACACAGGGAGGAAGTAAAACTTCCTTCTCTGATTAATGAGGAGACAACTGCAAAGAAATCCTTCCAGCTCGCCTCCCATGGGCGTTTCTGTAGGAAAGGGCAATCCAGCCTTGAATTAACAAAGGCAGAGTTTACGATGCTGTGAAGTGTATATGTCTATGTGTAGGCATTTTAAAAGGCTGGATTCTTCTTCAGCAAAGAAGCGCCACCCATATTTCAGGAAAGAAAGGCAAGTCGCTGGCAAGGTGTGAAGGAAGTAAGCTGTGGAAGGAGGAGTGATTGTTTGGCAATGCCGTGTCAAATGGAATTATAATGCTGTAGGATCCACATCAAAGCATGGACACACACGTGGGTTATGAAGCCAAACAAAATCCCATTTTTTATTGCTACACAAAGGGCTAGTCTACACTAGAATCGCTACAGCGGTGCAGCTGTACTGATATAGCTGCTCCACTGTAGCACGGTGAGAGCAGACACTGCGCGGATGGGAGACAGCTTTCCCATCAGCATAATTACTCCACCTCTCCAAGTGATGTTAGCTATGTCAATGGGTGAGTTTCTCCTGCTGTCCACACCGGTGCTTAGGTCTGTGTAACTTGCATCACTTTTCCACACCCCTGAGTGACTTAGGTTATACCGAAGCAAACGCCAGTATGTACAAGTCCAAAGAGTGAAGTGTTATACTTAAACTTCTGAAGAGCCTTCACTTGCCAGTGAGATTAAAGGATATGCAGCCTTCATTGTCCCTTAGCCCTGAAATTCATTTACAGCAAAGACTATCAAATGAATAGAATCATGTAAGGTATTTAAGACCCCAGTTCAACAAGATATTTAAGCATGTGGGTAGCCCCACTGACTTCAAATGTAATAGTGGAAAGTGTTTCTGTATACATATTTCATTTTGCTCGGTTCTCACTACCCCTTCTCTAGCTTATTGAAATTATTTTCAGTTACTGTAGGGTTCAATCTAAAAAGGAATTCCTGGGGTTAATCTCTATTTATATGATACATTTCATATTTATATGAAAATATTAATGAGAATATGGAATTGTGTAACAGGATTGCATGATTTATCATTATCTACTGTACTTTTAACAATTATACTACTTTAAACCTACACAGAACCTTTCTGCTGAGGTTCTTGGAGTGCTTTATAAGCATTAATAAAGGCTCAAAACACTCCTGTTAGATAGGTGAAGATTAATAACACAATGATATTGTAGCGAGTGATTTCCTGTGTGAGAGATAGGAACCAGAAAAGAGAATGTCCCACAAACGATTAGTCGCTCAAAGCCTCATCTGGAGTGGGTCTGAGCACCTGCAACTCACCTAACCAAACAGACAATGCCAATAGAAATGGGATTCAACTGCATGCATTTGTGCGTACATGTAATTGTACACACTTTCACAGTGTGTGTTTGTGGGACTACTCAGAGCAGGAAACACTGCATCAGGTAGATGTTTTCAGGATCTGGTCCTTAATGATCATTCTTGAGCAACACGCAGTCTAACAAGAACTACAGCCAAGGTTTTAAAGCATGACTAGTGTCTTTGGTTGCCCAATATGTGATACTTTGAAAAGACCCAATTATCAGAAACCCAATTATCAGTGCTTGGCATATACCCTCTGAAGAAAAATCAAGCAGCTTTAAAGTTCTTAGTCCACTAAAGATTTTAATTTTGGGAAGATTTTGCTATTGGACATTAACACACTCTCTCTCTCTCTGTATATATAGCAATTGTATATACACACAGAGCACTGGTTAGGTAGATTTAATTACATTTAAAAGTGTAACTTATAGAAGTATATAGATATACATGTGCAACTTCATCCATCACGGATATGTGGCCACCTCCTGGGTGCAATGTGATCAAAAAGCATAATGCTACAAGTTCTTAGGGCTTCAGGTTTTATGTTCTATCCAGAAGATGAAATCTCTAGTGACATGTGTGACACCCTGACATCCCAGTATTCACCACTATCATGTAATTAGGATATGTTTTGTACAAAGTATGCCTTGGGAAGTATCATTCTAAAAGTCTTGACCTGCTAGACATTAATATCTTGTTGGATTGTATGTGCTATCATCTATGTGAAGTTTTGAAGTTTGGCTATGTATGTGTTACTGAAATATGTTGTGAAGTTGAA